CCCGGGTCCCACTAGGGGATGCAGTGAGCGCCGGTGGGCCAGGGCACAGCATGGGCTCCTGGGCCACCCAGCGGCACCATGGGGAAGGCAAGGCGGGCAGCACACTCTCTCCCGGCTGGCCTCACAGAACCGGCTCCTGCACGAAACCACGGGGAGCCTGACCCGCCGCTGTGGGGCCCGGCTCACCTAGAAAAGGCTGCGCGGGTGCAGGATGGGCTCTTGCGGGCACCCGGCACCTGAGTGCGAGGCTTCCCAGCGTGTGAGCCCTGGCTCCCGGTGGAGTGTAGCAGAGGGAGTGAGAGCAAGTTCAGCAGACACCCTGCATTCTCACCACACCTCCGTCCCCATCACCCCTCCTCCCCTGAGGTAGCCGGTGAGAGGTCACAGCACCCCCTCCCAGGCGCCGTGGGAGGTTGGTCACCACCACCCACTCCCAGGTCCCCGTCCCAGCCTGGGGCCCAGCCCCCTACCTGGCTTCCTCAGTGCCTGGGAGCCAGGTGGCGGCCCCAACCCCCACTGCCACCTGTCACAGTCTGTGGGGGGATTGGTGGGGTGATGGGGCCCCGCTCGAACCCACCTTGGCCTGGTGCAGCCTGCTCACCTGCTCCACCATCCTGCCGCGGTCCCACTCTCGTTGGGGCCCATCAGGGCCAGCAGTGCCTCCACTGCTGCCTGCTGCCAGCACCGCATCACTGATGCCTGCCATGTTCCGCACCGCCCCCTGGTGGTCAGCGCATGTCATAGCAAGCGGTCAAACTCCCAGCCGAACAACCGCCCAAGGGGACAATCTGCATATTAGGCTTTTATTATATAGGATTACTACCATGTATCATTACTATATCATACCCTGAAACTTCAAACTTTGCGACTCTTAAGAAGGTAGTAACCAAAACGGAGCATAATTCTCATCTACCTAGAACTCTGAAACAATGATCACTGGCTATAACAGATTATAAGAAATCTTTGTTACATTCAGATATTTACTTAAGGGATGCTTCAAGAGTCTCTAAATTGTCTCCTCTCAGGATAAGCACCTATATTTAACCAGAATGTTTTATTGGTATTTTAACAGTGAGGAAGTATTCTAAACTGGCAGATGAGCACTGCCATGCAGTACTGATTACAATGCCAGCCTCTGATAATGTACTATTTTCACATGGGCCATGGATGGGTGGTTACAGTGAGCATCAGGTTCCCCTGTTCTGTCATAGCAACCTAAAACCTCCTATACTTTACTAGTAAACCAATTACACACTTAGAAAAGTTTTGCTCCAGAGAATACATCAGCACTAGAAACAAGGCAATCCTCTATAACAATTAAAAGGCAAACTCCAAGGACAACAATGTTTTTAAAAATTGGCTTTCTGCAAATTTTCAAATTCCACTCTATGTTTTGTTCTTCGATTGCTAAATCAATGCAACAATACTTTTTTTTTTTTTAAAGAAACTAAAGAAAAAGGTCCCTCCCTCCAACCTTTCCTTTTAGTTTGATTTCTGGAGACGTTTTTTTAAGAATTAACATTAATGCAAATGAATGCTAAAGTCAAACTACACATCATAGTTTGAAGCAATTTCAGAAACAGCCAATAAACAAGGTTCAACACTCACCTAAAAAGAATAACTTTTTCTTTAAGGTTTCAAAAGTAGTAAACCTGTGATTTAATCCAGTAACCCAATTTCAAGACTTAGGCTGCCAAAGGTGAAAATAATAACTCTAATGTGGATAAGCATTATTAAATCGGAATTAAAGATGTGATAAAGTATAAACACTACAGTATTTTTATTCAAGTTTAGCTAGCTAATAAAGTATTAGCAGTGGTGGCTTTATCAGCCCCTCCAGAGACTGTCTTTTCTTTGCCTAAACAGCACAGTATCTGGAATGCAAGTGGGGCTGTTAAAAGCTAGAGCAAGTGACTTCTAGATAAGTATTTAGACTTTTTAAAGAATATTGTGAAAAAGCTCGTACTTACATAGACCTAGAAATTAAAATTTAAGTCAAATCCAAAAATTATATCAATGGAAAGACTACAATTTTAATAAAATAAAAATATTGCAAATCACTAGTTCATGTCAGAATGATCTGACCTATGATGACTGTGGCAAAAACTCATGACTTATGATTTTTAAAAAGAGGAAGAAATTAAGTTATACTCCAAGACAAACTATAAGTATATTTATTATGAGCTGTTTTTCTAGTACTAGAATGTTAAAAACCATTACCACCATCCCCCAAAAGCTTATTATCTCAGGAAGACTACACAATCTGGCATACTTGCAAAATTCTGATCAAAAGACCCAAAATAAATATCAAAGCTGACAACTTGACATACACTAGAATTTTAATTTATCTTCAAAGATAATCTCCCTGCTCAATATAGCTGGCAACATCTTAACACATGAGAATATTTTTGTAACTTAAAATAATTCAATTCTTTTGGAAAAGATTAGAACTTCATAATACAAATCATGTAAAATCTTTAAAAATGTGTTTCTTCAAATGAGCCAATCTCTGAAAATGGCAAAATATTTGTAAATGGGGCTATTCCAAATATTAGAACCATGCTTGCTTCGGTAGCACATATACTAAAATTGGAACTATACAGAGGAGATTAGCATGGCCCCTGCACAAGGATGACACGCAAATTCGTGAGGCGTTCCATTAAAAAAAAAAATCAGAATGCACATAATCCATGTTTACCATTATCCAGAAAGATGAGGGAATACTAAGTATACTTCAAATGCCTAAGAAAAAGTACCGTTTAAAGTCTTAAAGGAATTGCTATATTTATTATCACTACCCATTTTGTTGCATCACAATTTAAAATAACATATATAATCACAAAGTTTAACTATATTGTCCCAAAAGTCTTTAAAAATTGGTACAGAATGAGGGGTAAAACTGAAATTACATTAAAAAACAGCTTCAGTATCTCTAAGAACCTTGGGAAATGCCAAGGCTTAATTCATAAATATTTTTAAACTTTGTGATTATGAGGGCAGAAAATATTAACTTTGGGATTATTTTCGAATTATACAAGACCCATGTGACCACCCACCTCAAAATCCAGGTTAATAAATCCTGTTAACAAGTCTCATTGCTACAAGGCTGCTACTGATGGATCACATTTCTCAGGTGTGTTTGTTTATAAGCTGAGAAATGTTAAGCCAAGTTCTAGAATCCCTACACTCAGCAATAAAATTAAAGATAAATCTCTTTAACTAAATTCATTTGTGAAGACCTCTTTACCATCTGCAGATGCCAGACTGATTCATATAGGCTCCAACAAGTATTTCACCCTTCATACTTTTTTGAAAGTAGGTAGTCTTCTCAGAGGCAAGAAATTCACTGTGGTTTCACATATTCATAGAGAACATACTGTGAGTCACAGTACTAGCAGTGTTAAGGCAAGACTGCAGGGACCACAGTTGCTGGTTAGTTCAGTTATAAGTATTTGAAAAGACTCACCACCCCCAGCACCATTATCTAGTTTCATAAGCCAACTATCCAAGAGGTCCAAACTTACTGTAACCCATATTCTGAAGGAGAATCAAAAGTTTCTTTTCAAATAGGAAAAATACACAAAACTGGGCACTTCCTCTGAATCTCTTATTCTCAACCTTTCAAAACAAAAGCATTGCTGTCATTGTCTTCCTGGGTCTACCTAAACACTTAGGAAAGACCTACCTGAAAAATACAGTATATTCTTTTTCCCATAATGTCATTCAAGGACAGAGAAATTATTCTCCTTTACATCTCAGATTATATCTTGGTGGCAATCATGATAGCTAGTAGCATCTATATCTAAAGGGCTAACTTCTCTCTGATCTAGCCATGTTTACCCAATGTGTTTCTGTGCTGAAGTTAGGCTTTATTTTTCTACTTTCAAAACAAAATAGCTCAATAATGAATACAACTGCATTCTGCTTTTAATTGCCATAAGCTTACAGGATTCTTAAATGCATAATTCATAGAATTATAAAATAAATGAAGCTACACACATAGTCCTAAATAATATACAGGCTTAAAATCCCAAGTACAAAGACCATTAAAAACTGTTTATTTGCCAAATCCACTGAGAAAGTAGAAGCAACTTAACAGCTGTCTAAATAACCACAAAATATTAAAAACACTTCTGGTTCAATATAAATGACATCTGAAGTGAAATGCAGCCTCCTCCAACAGAATCTCATTTGTTTGCCTAGAACCTACATTTATACTTCATTTAAGCCAGCTGGTGTCTCTGTTTGCAGGCATGCATCAATGCAAACCCTTCCCCATTCACAAGCTGCAATTTCCATTTTTAATGGCAGGTTTCCAGCAAATACAATGAGTCCTTACAGTGGAATTTAACTCTTCATCCAACTCAATTCCTAAGGCAGACTAGAACAATGGTAACAAAACAATGTGTACAAAAGTGCCTGGAAACTCACAAAATAGGCTGACATTTACAGAAGGATCTTTTCACCAGACAATTCATTCATTCACTACATAATTATGAAAAACATTGTGCTGGATTTGACTGACAGACTTTTGTAATGTTGCATAATATTTTGGTTTTATTAAAACAATTTTGTTCTTGGGAATATCATAACGATCTTTTGGCTAAATAGAATATTCTAAGATGTTTTAAAAACCAAGTGAGAAAGGTAGAAACCTTTGACTCTGTTTTCAACTAACTTACCATGAGTGCTGACATAGCTATTATAGACCTTCATTTACCCAATTACGGTCAATGCTTCCTCTCCCCTCCTCTCCTCATTCAATTTTCCCCTTTCACATACACAGTATCATAAACTGCTGACACTCTAGACCAGGAATAGGCAAAACTTTTCTGTAAAGGACCAGACAAAATATTTGAGCTTTGGGAAAACACACACACACCATCTGTATGAAAAGTGATAATGCAAAAATTATATTCATGTAATAAACAGACACCAAACTAAGGAAATATGGCAATTTAAGTGGTATAGCTTTAGTCAAGGTACATAGATGGCAATGCCATAAAAAAGTCTATAATATCTGCTGCAGCCACCCCCATTTTAAGTTACCCTAACTAAAAAAAAAAAAATTCTGTCAGAACTACTCAACTCTGCTGTGATAACCTGCAATAAACAATACTTAAAATAACAGGCTGTGTTCCAATAAAACTTTATTTGCCAGCCCTTTCCTTTTTCCTGGTATGAGGTTGCAACAGTTTGGAAAACATTGATTTAAATAGTCATCAAGTCAAACTTTGGAATCACCTTCCTGGGATGAGTAAAATAAACTAGGGTTTAAAACAGATGTCCACGTTTCTGAAACTACTAGTAAAGCCAGAACATGACTTCAGCTACACATCAGAAGACATTAAGTAGCCAAAGAACAATGATAATGATTAATTATATAAATGCTCTGAATTGTTTAAATTATATTTGAATTCACAGAAATGAAAGGAAAACAAAGAGTTTCTGCAGATCCCAATCTCAATTTGGTAAATCACTTTCCATTTCCAATCCTAGTTACTTAATTTCAGCTAAGGATATATGGATATTCACTTTTGTAAAGCTTAAGAATCACCACGGTTAAAAAGAGAAATCTAAATATTAGGTGGTTGGAAAGTTATTTCCAAGTTTGGTGACCACAAAACTGGGAAGCTCTCTGATACCTGCACAACACTGCAGCTCCCATTATGACAACAATATTACAAAAACCACACAAGATCATACCCCAAACCGGCCATGAAAACACACAAGGCCAAATTACATGTAAAATGTTATTCAAAATTAGAAAAAGCAAATTTTAGCAATTCAAAACTTTAGCGATTTTAGCTGCTTTTTTCAAGGCAACTTTTTATGTTAATATTCAAATTAGTCGTAATAGCTAAATAACTATTAGCAAACTCAATAAAATTCAATTACGGTGTGATTTTACAGTTCAGGGTATGATCAAACTTCAGGAGATGTCAAAAACACCTTGAAGAACAGAAGACAGCAATATTTTGGAAAATGTATTTGAATCAGCAGGCTTAAGCAATTTCAATCGTTTTACTATCCACTTAATTGAAACTTGAGATAATGTGAAGCAAATGCATTAGCCAATGCTACAAATATATCAATGAAACAGCAAATTTGCCAAGGATCACAATTCTTTCTGAGTAAGTTCCTTTTAAAGTGAGGACAAATGTTGTAACTCCTGGCGGTTTACCATATTATGTGCTCAAGACTATTTCAGCATTAAGATATACTTTAACTCCCAAACCTAACACTGCATTAATTCACCCTGTGGACTAAAATTTATTGCTGGTTACCTAGAGCTATTTTTAAGTGGCCTAATTAGTTAAGAACAGGTTCCATGGTATCATTTCAATTTCCAATGATTTTACTAAAGAGTCAAACTCTAAAAATAATGTTCAGCACTAGGAGCCCATTCTTGTTTCTTTTTTAATGTAAAGCCTAACAATAAATCAATAAATGCCTTTACATAGAAGACAGCTTAGGTGTGGTCACTAAATAAAAGTGGAAATTCTCTGAAAATTCACTACAAATATACGATAGTATATATACTCAAGTTAGATAAAATATTTAATGGAAAAAAAGGAAGCCCCATATTATTTAGAAAAGGATATTTAAACTAAGTCAATTCCAAATGGAAGTGACTAAACATGGTGGTATATACTACCCACAGATTTTTTTTTTAAGCTCAAGATAGCGAAACATCTAATGAAGCTATTAAAACGCTTTGTCTACAGGTCATATTATTACCAAAGGCTCACACACAAAGGAAGCAGATTTACACTATCAAGTCCGAAAAAGCCTATCCTGGGACTGTGCCAGGGGCACACAAGGATTTTAAAAGTACATAAAAATGGCATACACATGCAGTACAAAAGCAGCCGAGGGGCCTTTCTCCCTAGTCACTTTCAGGAAATGTTTCAAGATGAAAAGCAGAAACAGTCTGAAGTCCCTTGGAATCTCGGGTTCATTTCTTTATCATTCTCAGGGCCGAGGCTTCCTCCCAACGCACTTGGCCGGGCAAAAATAAAGCCCTTCCTACGAAAAGCCACTAACTACTCAGTCCCCATTTTCGATACAATTTGCTTTTCGTGAAAAGTTCAAGTTGTTCAAGGTCTAGAGACTCTCTAGACTCTTCTAGAGTGTAGTGCGATCGCGTTACCGGACTCGGGAAGAGCATTTTCTTTGTTGTTGACCCTGCTCGGAAAACAGGTCTTGACTCAGCCAAAGCGGCGTTCTTGCGGGTGATTAATGACAGGCCTAGATCTCGCCCCAATGACAGCCACCCCCACCCCCTCCGCGCTAAAGCCGGCCATGTCTGCGCTGGAGGAGGGCGGCCTCCGCGCCCGAAACCGCCCAGTCCCGGAGTGAAGAGCTGCGGCCAATCGATTCGGGGAGATCGGGCGTCGAGATTCGCGTGAAATGTGACCCTTCTACAGCCTAAGCCTATGAATAATATCGCCCTCCCCGATCATTTCCGCTGGGGCTCTGCAGGCTACGGAAACACTCCATTCCAGTCATTCGCCCCAAATAAAAGGACCTTCCTCCTCCCCACAAATACCCGGCGGG